GCAAGTATACATGCATTCTGTATTGTTACTAATCATAGATAAACTTGTGTATTTATGTAATCCTTCAAATAATGACTTTATTTTCCCAGCAAAACTAATATTTTTCTAGACATTCTCAGTAAAGATACATGTAAAAAAAAAATTATGTTTGAGTGCTACAATCACATTTCTTATTGTTGCTTGAATTCTTATGTATTTTTTGATGTTGAATTTGGCTGATTTTAGAATTCTAGAAGGAAATAAATAGTGGTATTTATCCTATTATTTTTAGATATTAAATCGCCATTTAATATCTTATGATGAAATTTATTTTCCCTCAAGATCCTATTAATGTAAGAACACATAATTCAACTGGCTCAGGTTTAGATTGAAACCTTTAAACCTTTAAATTTGGGCATTTATATTCCACCAGAAGTTTCTCTTTACAAGCCCTCACGTTTTCCTCTTTCTATGTCTTACTAAGTCATCAAATTCTGGTGATCCAGACTTCATAGCGGTAGATAAATAATGGTTTCAAGATATGTTAAGTATCCAAACTCCTCCAGCACTCATTTAAGATTTAATTTTTGTTCCAAATCTAGGGCTATTTTTCCTTTTTTCCCGACAGAAACTGCAAGAATTAATAGGTACTTTTAAGTTCTCTGTAACATTTAGGACATAGAGGATGATCATGAGTCTTGCACTAGTTTTGAAGCTTTCCAGGCTGCTGTGACATGATTTTTACAAATCTCTCTGGGTGAATGTTTTCTACCATTTGCAAGGATATCCTCTTGTATGGCTACATTTGTGGCAACAGCCTCCATTTTACCAACACATTTCTCAGCTTACTCACTTTTTCCATTGTGGCAAGTGGACAATTACTTCTCTTGCCTAGATGTGTTTATGTTTCTCCAGCAATAAAAAAACACCAAGCAGTTACCAGAGCATGGCCCAGCTGCTGTTGTTTGGAAGGTAATAAGAGGTTTTCGTTCCCTGATGCTGATAAGGACAGGCGATAGTAATTGGAGACAAGTTGGTTGGCTTTGGTCCTGTATCCCAGAAAATACACAGTACAATCTGTTGCCTGTTTTCAGTGACCTGTTTCTTAAGCATCATGTGTGGAAGTCAGCAAAGAGAAAACTGCTGTATGGCTAAGGCCTGTTAAAATGAGTTGTTATGAGCTGTTATAGTAATGATGAAGAAAGGGTGTTATGCACAAATGAGAGAAAGTGGAACTTGTGTTGGTGTAGTGGTTCAGTAGGAGGAAGAATATGGCATCTGATTATCCCAAGGCTTCTCATAATATGCAAATATGAACTTCAAATGTGTGAATTGTCCTCCGCAAACAACAAGAAAAGTAGAAAGGTGAGGTTTTCTGTATTCACTTTGCTGAACCAAGGCCTTAATTACCATGGAATTGCTACAGATATATATATAAAATACTGACAACAAAGCATTTTCTTGTGACGTTTAATTTAGAAGCAGTATAATGACCTATATATTGTAAGATGCAATTGAAATGTAGAGGCTTAAATACAATAGCGCAGTAACTTCTTACTGTTAACAAAACCTCCTGAGATTCTTGGAAAATATAGCCTTTAATACTGAATTTTAAACATATGTGGATTAAGAAGACAGAGCTTATAATTTTATAGCCATTTAGTGCATGGTTAATCACCATTACCCAACTTGGCACTATCTAATTTTATCCCTATTACAGTATCACAGTATCACAGTATGCTAGAGATTGGAAGGGACCTCGAAAGATCATCTAGTCCAATCCCCCTGCCGGAGCAGGAACACCTAGATAAGGTTACACAGGAATGTGTCCAGGCGGGTTTTGAATGTCTCCAGGGAAGGAGACTCCACAACCTCCCTGGGCAGCCTGTTCCAGTGTTCCATCACCCTCACTGAGAAGAAGTTTCTTCTCAAGTTTAAGTGGAACCTCTTGTGTTCCAGTTTGTACCCATTACCCCTTGTCCTATCATAGTTTGCCAGTGAGTAGAGCCTGGCTCCATCCTCGTGACATTCCCCCTTTACATATTTATAGCCATTTATAAAGTCACCCCTCAGTCTCCTCTTCTCCATACTATAGAGACCCAGCTCCCTCAGTCTTTCCTCATAAGGGAGATGCTCCACTCCCTTAATCATCTTGGTTGCCCTGTGCTGGACTCTCTCCAGCAGCTCCCTGTCCTTCTTGAACTGAGGGGCCCAGAACTGGACACAATATTCCAGATGGGGTCTCACCAGGGCAGAGTAGAGGGGAAGGAGGACCTCTCTCGACCTACTAACCACCCCCCTTCTAATACACCCCAGGATGCCATTGGCCTTCTTGGCCACAAGGGCACAGTGTTGGCTCATGCTCATCCTGTCGTCCACTAGGACCCCCAGGTCCCTCTTCCGTACACTGCTCTCTAACAGGTCGTTTCCCAACCTATACTGGAACCTGGGGTTGTTCCTGCCCAGATGCAGGACTCTACACTTTCCCTTGTTATATTTCATCAAGTTATTCCCTGCCCAACTCTCCAGCCTGTCCAGGTCTCGCTGGATGGCAGCACAGCCTTCTGGTGTGTCAGCCACTCCTCCCAGCTTAGTGTCATCAGCAAACTTGCTGATAGTACACTCAATTCCCTCATCTAAATCATTGATGAATATATTAAATAATACCGGTCCCAGTACTGACCCTTGAGGCACTCCACTAGTTACAGGCCTCCAACTAGACTCCGCCCCATAGACTACAACTCTCTGGCTTCTCTCCTTCAGCCAGTTCACAGTCCACCTCACTACCTGATCATCCAGACCACACTTCCTCAATTTAGCTGTGAGGATGCTGGGGGAGACTGTGTCAAATGCTTTGCTGAAGTCAAGGTAGACCACATCCACCGCTCTGCCATCATCCATCCACCGTGTTATTTCCTCATAAAAGGCTAAGAGATTGGTCAAACATGATTTCCCCTTGGTGAAGCCATGTTGACTGCCCCTCATAACCCTCTTATCCTTGATATGCCTTAAGATGGCACCAAGGATAAGGTGTTCCATCACTTTCCCAGGGATGGAGGTGAGGCTGACCGGCCTATAGTTACCCGGGTCCTCCTTCTTGCCCTTTTGGAAGACTGGAGTGACATTTGCTTTCCTCCAGTCCTCAGGCACCTCTCCCGTTTCCCAAGACTTGGTAAAGATGATGGAGAGCGGTCTAGCAATGACTTCCGCCAGTTCCCTCAGCACCCGCGGGTGCATCCCATCTGGACCCATGGATTTATGGATGTCCAGATTGCTCAACTGGTCTCTAACCCATTCCTCATCGACTAAGGCAAACCGCTCCGTCGACCTGACTTCATCTAAGGTCTCAGGGGTACAGGGCTCTTCAGGACTGCCTGCAGCAGAGTAGACAGAGACAAAGAAGGCATTCAGTAACTCTGCCATCTCTGTATCTTCTGTCACCAGGGCACCCATCCTGTTCATCAGTGGGCCTACATTGCCTCTGGAGGAACCTGCTGGACTGAGGCTGGGTTGCTGAGTGGTCCTTCCAGCAAACATCAGGGAAGTTAAAATCCCCCACGACGACCACGGCCTGTGACTGTGAGGCCGCTCTCAGCTGCCTGTAAAAGGCCTCATCAACTTCCTCACCCTGATCTGGTGGTCTGTAACAGACACCCACAACATTATCCCCCCTGCCAGCCTGCCCCTTAATTCTCACCCACAGACTCTCAAGTCGCTCGTCATCTGTCCCTGGACAGAACTCGGTGCATTGTAGTTGCTCCCGCACATAAAGAGCAACCCCACCACCCTTCCTGGCTGGCCTGTCTTTTCTGAAAAGGACATAGCCCTCCATGACTATATTCCAGTCATGTGAGCTGTCCCACCACGTCTCTGTAATTGCCACCAGATCATAATCTCCTGATTTAACACAGGTTTCCAACTCCTCCTGCTTATTTCCCATGCTGCGCGCATTGGTGTACAGACATTCCAGGGAGCGAGCTGAGCACACCGATTTCACCCTAGGATTATAGGAGGCCTCCCAGTCTTCATTAATTCTGGAGCGCTGCCCCACTGGGGCAAGCCCAGCTACAACCCCATCCCCCTTCAAATCTAGTTTAAAGCTCTCCAAATGAGCCCTTCTAATTCGTGCCCCAACATCCTTTTGCCTCTGTGAGACAAACCTTTCTCACTTGTCATTGTCCAGACTGGTGCCCTATAAAACCAGCCATTATCAAAGAATCCGAAGCCCTGCCTGTAGCACCAGTCTCGAAGCCAATCGTTTATGAACTGAATCTTCCCATTCCTTCCCACATCATCAGTGGAAGATGGAAGGAGTGAGGAGAAGATCACTTGAGCCCCAGACTCTTTCACCATCCGCCCCAAGGCCCTGTAGTCTTTCTTCATCCCCCTCAGACTGCGGGAAGCAGCTTCCTCCCCACCTGTCTGGAAGACCAGCAGCGGGTAGTAGTCTGTCGGGTGCACCAGGCTGGGGAGCGCCCTAGTGATATCCCTGATCCGGGCTCCAGGTAGACTGCACACTTCCCTATGATGAGGGTCAACTCTGCATATCGGGCCCTCTGTTCCTCTCAGAAGGGAATCCCCTACTACAATGACCCTTCTTTCTTTCTTAACAGAGGCAGTCTTGAGGTGCAAAGTCGACCCCCTTTTCCTATGTGGCCTTGTGGGCTGGCCCTGCCCCACATTCTCACCTACCCCTCCTTCAAGATCCAGGGCCTCGAACCTATTACGGAGGGACACCTGGGGAAGCAGGGCAGGAAGGGGGGAGGGTTTCCCACAACGTCGAACTGGAACTTGCTTCCAACCCTCGTCGTCTTTTTGGTCCCCTACCTCTGCACAACAGCTACAGGGCAGGGGCTGTCTCGGGCCATCCCCCTCTGTGTGAGAAGGCAGTGGGTCCCTCCCCTTTTGGGGGGTATATCCCTGGAACCGTTCCGACTGGCACGCCAGGGAGTTACTCCACCAGTCGATCTCCCTTTCACACTCCCTGATAGTCCTCAGCGTCTCAACCTCCTAAAAAAAGAAAAAAAAGAAAAAAAACGCAGTTCCCCACTACCACAAATTATGCAGTCGAGTTTCCCGCATTTGGGGAAATCAGGAAATCGCAGGGGTCAGCACACCCGGAGTGCAAGGGATGAGCCTCGCCCTGGGAAAACCACCTGCTTGATCATGGTGTCTCCCCTGCCAGGTATTAGGTTGTAGTTGTGCCACTACTGTCCCATTTAAAGAGTGCTAGTCACCATCATTACAGTGAATCACAGTTACCTAGGAGATAACCCAATAAAACAATCTTCCTGATGCACCTTCTCCAGTGAAGCAAAGTACAGTATAATAATATCCTACATTTATATGGCACTTTTCATCCCAAAGCACTTCACAAATTATGTACAGAGAATATCACAAAACTGCAGCAGTTTCAAAGTAGTGAAGGGCATAAGGCAATGAGCATACAGAAGGCTGCCTGCGACCAATATGAAGGAGTAAATTTAAGTAACACTTTCCCCATTATCAAATTCTTCCTGCATTTCCAGTATCTACACAAACAACAGATAACTATTTTCCATTTTCTATGGTGTATGTCAAAGCAAAAAGAGAAAAGGAGACAAGCTGAGGGGAAATAACACAATAAATGGGCCAAACTTGCTTAGTTTTGAACCTGGGATTTGTAGTAGATATAAACTTCCTGTTCTGAGGAACAAGGTATTCTCTCCCACTGAGATGCAAACATGGTGTGGCAAAGTCGCTTTTGGTCATTACAACACATTTCTCAGATATAGGTCCAAACAACTGCTATTTAACATCCTGAATTCCTTAAATGCCGGTAATCTAAATGGCATAATGTTGCACAATTAACAGATCAGATTTGCAGAAGTCTTGAAATTTTTAGAGGGGGAGACAAAATGAGAATTTTGTCAGCCTTGCCATCTAGCTCCTCATCCCATTTCTCCTGTCATATTAAACAGCTTCAGAAAACATTAAACATAAAATTCAGCTTCATAAAAGACAAAAATATAACCTCCTTACATCTAAAGTTACTCATTGAGGTAATCACAGGTATTAAAAAGTAAAATATAAGTATCTGCAACTTCTTCCTGTGTTAGAAGCAATCTAACCGCCATCCCTGGCAGTGTTCAAGTCCAGGTTGGAAGGAGACTTGGGTAACGTGGTTTAGTGGGTGGTGTCCCGGCCCATGGCAGGGGGGTTGGAACTAGATGATCTTAAGGTCCTTTCCAACCCTAACTATTCTATGATTCTATGATACACTCTGGGTGCTGAAGGTTTGCTTTCTTTATTTTGGGGGTGCGGGAAAAGATAACATGGCATAGGGAGAAAATCTTGTATATGTGGCTTGATCTTTATTAGTGATACAGAAGTTACTATCACAAACAGTTTTTTAAAATTCTAGAATTTCTACAAATCAATGTTTATCCTTAATAAGAATACCAAGAGCAACCTTAGACTGTGAACAACCTTATGTATACCAATAGTAATTCTTAAATTGGTAAAATGTAAAGTCATAAACTTTACATATTTCCAAGTTTTTCTTTATACATATTTATATCTATATATACTGGCCCTGTTATTTTACTTGTTTTAGAACACCCTTCCCTTCCTAAAACAATACATACATACTGTTTTGAGCAAACTGCCCAATGCTTTCAAAAGTATGCAGTCTTCTTCAGATCTGGAAAAGCCTTAAAAAAGTAGTCATTCAGTTCCACAGCCATTTAAAACCTAGTCTAAGCTGCAAATAACATGCATGGTACAAGGGGTTTGAAACTAGAGGTCACAAAACCTAACATCTAAACATGATAGAAGTTTTGAATCCTAAAGCATATCTGTGTTCACACTAATCTGACACAGGAAAAACCTGTCCCCATCTCAGAAATTATTACTGAGCTGGGTTGGTGATATAGCCCAATATGTGCCCTTACAGATAGTCTTCCAATAATCCTGAACCTGAAATGAATTTTTGAAGTTGAACTAACTAAATATCCATAGCTCAAGTATGGGAAAACCAGAAAGCTAGAAACACATAATGTATACAGATATTGAATAACCTTCAAGAGAGGGAAAAGAGTGTCATTAAAAACCAGAAAGAGTACACAGAAATTGAAATCATTGAATCACTGATCCAAAGCAGAAGTAATCATATTTCTTCTGGCTCTGAGTATACTGAAATGACATTTTGTGTATATGTTTTCCTTAGATTAGGCATTTTCTGTTTAAGTATTTCATTTTCGTAGTTTCCTTCTTAATTCTTCCAAACCAGGACAAAAACTTAGAAATCCAGTTAGATCCTTGACTACCGTGACTGCGATGCTGGAAATAAATAGGTGTGAGACTTTGTGCAATAAAATAATGAGTCATATAGTAGCACACAATGAATAAGGCGTCGGTGATGATCTACAAAAAGTAGACAGAAATCAGTTTCACTTTATTTCATCCAATAAAAGGAGGTCTAAATGTAGTCAACTAGAAATTAACAATGTCGCAATTTAGGAGTAAAAATACAATGAAAGTGTGCAGCAATATACTGGAAATTACTAAGTTGATTGAGTTAGAAGTTTGCGGGTAGTGAAAATGCAACATAGTTTTCATCTGAATGCAAAGTTTTCTTCTGAACCAGGGAAAGAAACACTTTCCTCCAAACTGTCCTGAGAACTCCAAAAAAGCAGAATAAAGATAATTGCATTAGATACTAAAATGAGCATCCTGGTTAAAAAGTGTGTTAAATATAATGTCACAATAAGCTCTTTTAAGGAATTTATCAACTTAAGTAAGTGTAGCTATAAACTTGGCATGGCAGCGGAGTGCTTGGTTCTATTACAAATATTCTCATAAAAATACAGGTGTGAAATTTACCATAAGTGCTAGCTCAAGAACACCACAACAAGAAATGGGTGCTTTCTGAATCTCTGATGGTTTTCCATGGTGTAGTTTAGAATATCTATAACATTTTTTTAAACTTTTGATTATTTTTTAAATATAGTTACTCTTGTGCATTTTATATTAAAAAAAGAACTAGCTGAAGACATATGCTGTATTATAAAATTTAACTTTGAAGGTATCTTGATAATTTGTCCTAAAACATATTAAAGGCTGAATTTATCATTGTGATTCCACCTAAGGACTTGGCTTAACTTTAACATGTTTTTTCTAATCTGGCCAATAACATACTTCTGAAAATCAGATGAAAATCATTACATAAACTGACAGAGAACTTCATACCTAAGAAAGACCAGCTGATGTAGATCACAGTGTTTACTGATGTGGCATCCGATATGCATTGCCAAGATGGCATCAAAAGACACAAAGCTTCACAGTATTACAGAGGTAGGTAAAAATCTATCTAAAGCTAAATCAGTCTATGTTGTTTGATCTCTTTTGTTAATGATTTTGTATTTTGTGAGTAGTGTGAGCTCCCTGAAGTAGGAGGTGCACTGGGGTGTTTTGTCTCCCAGGGTGAGATGTCAATATGGTGTCCCTCCTAATCTCTGAAAGGATAAGATTTCTGGCCTGGACCTCAGCAGGACCTGAAGCAAGTCCATCTCTCATATACTTGTACGTATCTGTATTTTCTCATATCTGGTAGCTGCTCAGAAGGGGATCAGGGTGGATGTCTCTTTTATACCACCTTGACAATCTCTCTTAAATTTCCACAAAGATATTTCCTTACTCTTTTTCATTTTATTTGGTTTGAGAGATTGCTGTTCACCATCACCCTTTATTAGCATAAATAATACTTAGAGGCAATGCTTCATCCTTCCATTTCAAGAACCCGGTGTGCTGTTTATACTGCAATATGAGCATCTTGAAATCTAATAAAAAATTCTATATTTGAGTTATACCCACATTATATAATTGTATAAACAAATATATACTTAGATGCTTCAACATAATTTTAAAAAAGGGATTAATCTCTCTTTCTTAAAAAAGGCTTTTACTTTAACAACCAATACCACAGTATCTGCATAACATTTTAATTCACTGGAAGGTTCCCCGTGTTATGTATGAAAATCTGGGCTGTTAATGATATTTTAAAAATGAAGCAACTTCTCCCATTTCTTTAGGAATAGTACAAATATGCTTTTTCATTGACTCTTTAGCTAGTATAAATTCATTTTTTATAAACCACACAAGATTATTCACTTGTGCATGTGGCACAAGGATTGCCTGTTTCTCACTTGACAACAGAGGGAGCAAATACAAAGGCAATTTTCAGATGATTATAGAAAGGTGAACTGTATCCTACTCCTCATTTTCATTTTTGGGACCCATCTGTCAGCTTCTGAATTTCTAAGAAATAATAATGGATCAGTGCTAAATTTATTCCTTTTCCAAAACCTGAGTCGTCTTAATTAAAATCACATCTATAGGTAATGTCTGGGATTTAATAAATTTGTAGCCACAAATACCTTCTGAATTTTGTGAGGCTTTTCTGAGGCAATATAATATTTTAATGCAGGTACTTGGTCTAATGAAATCTCCTTGTAAATTTTCAGATTTTTCTGCAGTCCTAAATGGTTTGTTCAGTTTCAAGCCAGAGGGTGATGAGATGAAGATCAATAAGAACAGTTTCTCAGAGACTACAGGGATATGGGTTGGAAAGATAGAGAGTGAATCCAGGTATTTAGTACAATTGACAATATCAATAGCAACCAGATACCTGTCAGGAGAAAAAGCTGTGATGCAGCACCTTTAGAGCAGTATTTTGAAGGGGTAAGAAATCAGATGAACAATGAGGAGAGGCACTTCAAGCACAAGTAATATGACAACCACAGCTTTAAGGCAGATCATCCTCGATCTTCTCTTCCTAATGAGCTCTTCAAATCTCTTAAAATAAATTACATAATATGTCACAGGAAAGTTGTATTTTAAACAATAAAACTTGAAATCACCAAGGAAAACAGCACAGAAACAAAAAAGAAGTAGAAAAAGGGCTTGGAAATAGCTCTTGCCCTGCCTATTGTGGTTTTGCAGCAGTTGTCTGACTTCAGATTTAGTTTCAGTCGACTCAGTAACTTAGAGCTAACTTTTTAGTTCTCGTTCGCAGGAGGATTTCTTCAATTGCTTCTGAGACTTTACTCTCTGTTTTCTGGTCTTATCAGCATTCTTTGAGCTGCAGTCTTGCAACTCCTTTCAGGGACTGTTCATTGCTACTGCCATATCCTGCAGTCTTTGGAGGCTC